CATTAAAATGATTAATGAATGTAGAAAAAACAAAATAGGTCTTATTCTTTATTTCTCTGTATGTGTAGCTTTTGATGTGTCAATGAAATATGAAGATAAGTAACAGTATTCAATGTCAAAAGTCCAATAAAACAATATGTTGATGTTGAACAAACTTGGAGCAGAGCAAACACGGACCTCAAAATTTAGAGGTGGGATCAGATGCCATATCCGCATGTAGGAGTGAGCATCCCCTGCCGACTGGTCACACCCGCCGTGTGCTCCTTGTCATGAAAAAAAAAAAAGACGTTAGTCAGCATTTGACTCAGTGATAGGTTGTATTTGCTGACAAGGTCATTGTATTGTCCATAACACTTGCGAAATGATGACTTCAACCGAGACTGTTGACATCCTTGTTTCATCAACTTGTTTGTCAATAGATTGTCCCGTTTTAGAAATTGTTCATATGCAGAGCATGCTCTTGCACATCGAATGAAACAAGTCAAAAATGACGTCAAAAAGCTGACTAGCCCATGCCACGTATGACGTCACAATGCATAGTTGCTTTGTATAGTTGAATCCACACTTTTCAAAGTTATGTCCCTTGGCCACGATGTTTTGGGGAAAACCCATGGAATATCCTCACAGTATTTGTAGCTTTCTGGTTTGTAACTTTGTCATTTGACTGGGAAAAAACTCTGCACCTTGTATATTGATTGCCCCATGATGGGGCTATCCACAAATAGAAAAAATAGACTTTGTGGATTTATCTGAACAAAATGTTTGGTAGCATTAAACGTTTCTTTCCCTTTTGGTTGACCCCGCAAAAGGACATAACTTTTTGTGTATTCACTTAGTGCTTCCAGAATTTTTCCACACGACGTATCCTGAGTCCCTCCTCCCCGGGGTATGCACGCGCTGCAGACTAATTTTTCTCTCCTTTGCTTTCAATACTCTGAATTTTTCCAGATTGCCTTCCCTATATATGGCAGTAAAAGTCAAAAGTGCACTCAGTTGACCTCCCTAACCAGGTGTCGAACCCTTTGTTGTAATCAATATTTTTTTCTGCCCAAAATGAGAATGGACCCCTCCTCCCCACCCACCCCCCATTCTAAATCAAGAATTTGGGTTTTGTAAACTACCGCCTATCACCATGATTACCCCCGCTTCCAATTTCTTCATTTTCCTGAAGAAAGTGTTTTTTGTCTTTTTCATTTTTTATTAGCCTAATTTATTGAATTTTTTTGGCTTGCACATTAGTACTCATTTCTGGCTCCCCTTTGAACACTTTGAAAAACGATTACTTTATACGTGCCATTGGACAGATGAAGGAAGACACAACCCATAATACTTTGGATTGTTCAAGGGAATTGCTTAACATCCACTTAGATTTGCTCATATTCATTTTCTTAAAAGGTTTGGGGGTGGGTAACACTGTCAGTTTTCGCATGGTAACGTAGTCCTGAGTGTTCCAACATTCTACAAAGGGCGTGGGACATGGGGGGGGGGGGCTGTATGAGAATATTCCCATGTACAGATTTGTGCCAAAAGTGAAGATAAATTTATTTTTTTCTCGTACCATTCATTGAAAACAACATTTTATAAAATCACAGGAATGACAACATTTCTTGACAGATTTTACCACAAATTTCTCGATTATCCAAGAAATTGTTATATTTGATAAGAACAATACGTTTTATCTTATCAGCATCGATATTTAAAAGGTAAAAAAAAATATTGTAATTTGAGTGCGACATGAAAATTTAAGTCATGTACACACAATGAATTATATAGTCAACATTGATCTTGAATTTTAGAACTGCATGATGTAAGTGATGATCAAACTATCTTTTTTCTAAAAACTTAATAGTAATGATGTTTTAGAAAAAGATAACTACACATTTTCTGGTTTAAGTACTGAAATTAAATAATGAAATTGGAGAAAAATTGACCATTTAACTATATGTGGTTTTCAATAAAATATATGGAGAAAAAATAAAATTATCTTCACTTTTGGCACAGATCTGTATATTATTTGCAAAATAATCTTCTAAGAAAAAAATGTGGGCGGCACTCCCCCCCCCCCCCCCTTAATTGCGTACTACGGGCCTGGTTGTTCAGATTAGTCGATACCTTTCTATAACTTTCATAATCTCATCTCTCTCAAAATTTTCCGGAAATATTAATGTTGTACCATTAAATCCCAAAACGGTTTGGTGATCAAGATTTTAATCAACGTTTTCTAAACGTAGAAAACTGAAAAGGAAAAAAGACTGTTCTTGTTTACTTTACTGAAATTTTGCAGGTATGTGTATTTTATGTATAACTCAGTGTAATTTTTGGAAATTTTAAGAAATTACACATGTACCTTGCGAAATTTTTGTGCAAAATATAGCTACAATATAGTATGTGAGTTGTGTATTATTGCATGCGTCTTGGTATTATAATGATATCCAGCAGGTGGTTTATATTTTGTGTATTATGTGTTTTTAGCTCACCTGAGCCGAAGGCTCAAGTGAGCTTTTCTGATCACATTTTGTCTGTAGTCCGTCTGTCCGTCTGTCCGTCTGTCTGTCCGTCTGTAAACTTTTCACAATTTCGACTTCTTCTCAAGAACCACTGGGCCAATTTCAATCAAACTTGCCACAAAGTATCCTTGGGTAAAGGGGATTCAAGTTTGTTCAAATGAAGGGCCACGCCCTCTTCCAAGGGGAGATAATTAAGAATTCGTAAAAAATTAATGGCATCATTAAAAAAGCTTCTTCTCAAGAACCACTGTGCTTGAAAACATGAAACTTATGTGGAAGCATCCTCAGGTAGTGTAGATTCAAGTTTGTTCAAATCATGACCCCCGGGGGTAGGGTGGGGCCACAATGGGCGATCAAAGTTTTACATAGGAAATATACAGGAAAAATCTTTAAAAATCTTCTTCTCAAGAACAGCAAAGCCATACTTGGTCATATTTATATGGTAGCATCCTCAGATAGTGTACATTCAAGTTTGTTCAAATCATGACCCCCGGGGGTCGGGTGGGGCCACAATGGGTGATCAAAGTTTTACATAGGAATATATAGGAAAAATCTTCAAAAATCTTCTTCTCAAGAACAGCAAAGCCATGATTGGTCATATTTACTTGGAAGCATCCTCAGGTAGTGTAGATTCAAGTTTGTTCAAATCATGACCCCCGGTGGTAGGGTGGGGCCACAATGGGCGATCAAAGTTTTACATAGGAATATATAGGAAAAATCTTTAAAAATCTTCTTCTCAAGAACAGCAAAGCCATGATTGGTCATATTTACATGGAAGCATCCTCAGGTTGTGTAGATTCAAATTTGTTCAAATCATGACCCCCGGGGGTCGGGTGGGGCCACAATGGGCGATCAAAGTTTTACATAGGAATATATAGGAAAAATCTTTAAAAATCTTCTTCTCAAGAACAACAAAGCCATCATTGGTCATATTTGTATGGTAGCATCCTCAGATAGTGTAGATTCAAGTTTGTTCAACTCATGACCCCCGGGGGTCGGGTGGGACCACAATGGGCGATCAAAGTTTTACATAGGAATATATAGGAAAAATCTTTAAAAATCTTCTTCTCAAGAACAGCAAAGCCATGATTGCTCATATTTACATGGAAGCATCCTCAGGTAGTGTACATTCAAATTTGTTCAACTCATGACCCCCGGGGGTCGGGTGGGGCCACAATGGGCGATCAAAGTTTTACATAGGAACACATAGTAAAAATCTTCTTCTCAAGAACAGCAAAGCCATGATTGGTCATATTTATATGGTAGCATCCTCAGATAGTGTACATTCAAATTTGTTCAAATCATGACCCCCGGGGGTCGGGTGGGGCCACAATGGGCGATCAAAGTTTTACATAGGAACACATAGTAAAAATTCTATAAAAAAAAAAAAAAACAATTTATTAAGAATAGCAAAGCCATGATTGGTCATATTTATATGGTAGCATTCTCAGATAGTGTACATACAAATGTGCTCGAATCATGACCCCCGGGAGTCGGGTGGGGCCACAATGGGCCATCAAAGTTTTACATTGGAACACATAGTAAAAATCTTTTAAAAAAACTATTTGTTAAGAATAGCAAAGCCATGATTGGTCATATTTATATGGAAGCATTCTTAGATAGTGTACATTCAAGTTTGTTCAAACATGACCCCTGTGGGTCGGGTGGGGCCACAATGGGTGATCAAAGTTTTACATAGGAATACATAGGTTAAATCTTTAAAAATCTTCTACTCAAGAACAGCAAAGCCATGATTGGTCATATTTAAATGGAAGCATCCTCAGATAATGTAGATTCAAATTTGTTCAATTCCTGACACCCCCCCCCCCCAACCACTTTTATATTTAAACTTTTCAACCTTTCAAGATTGAAGTGATTTCTGCTTTTTCCTAGCCATAGTGCTCAGGTGAGCGATGTGGCCCCTGGGCCTCTTGTTAATGGTGTGTCTGAATACACTCATTAAAATAAAATAAAAAAGTCACTAAAATTAGCACGTTTTAAAAATATATTACTGTATATGAAAAGAGTGAAAGTATGACACTTGCCGTCTTGGATTTCAGGGGGTGCCTCAGTTCACGCTTGATTTTTATTTCCATTTCATTGTGAAATAAAATTGTAAATTCAGATTTAAAAAATGTTATCTAATAGATTTGAATTACACAAGGCCTCCCATGTCAATTTCAATAGTCCCCAACCACTGACGTCAAACGCAAAGACATCTGCACGAGAATTACATGCGTATTAGGCCTCCTTAGCTCCTGACCTTTCGCTTGGCGAAATTTACATTCCAGTAGAATTATCAAGAAATCAACTCAGCTAACTTTCAAAGAGTTATCACAGAGAAAACAAATAGAAATGGAAATATTAGTCTATATCTACACTTTTCCTACCAGTGTCAGATGAGATCTAGCTTCAAAAATAATTAAATAAAACCCAACAACCATCTGCTGATTTGAACTTGGTGTATAAAACATGCAGTAAACCAAAACATACTTGATACCTAGCACTAATATTGGTGGGGATTTGGCTTGGCTAAATATTTGGTCTGACGCCTCCACCAAATCTCCTTCATAATTCATGTCTGGAAATTACAACTAAATGACTTAATTGAAGTGAACGACAATGTTGCCTAGGTGAATAATTCCTGCTATAGCCGACTGAAGTTGGGGCTGAATTTCCAGAAGTGAATTATGAAGGTCTGTCCCGAGATTCGGTGGAGGCGTCAGACCAAATATCTAGCCAAGCCAAATCTCAACCGAGATTAACCTACCACTGAATCTGAAAGCAACAGAAGTGATGAATTCTAACTAAGATGTTGAGGCATCCGGGAACTACACAGAAAGTCTAGAGAGGTCAGAAACCGCACTAAAACTGTTGATGACAGAAATTTATAAACTTTGTCACTTTCAGTCTGTGAAAGTTTCAATGGTTAAGTTGATCTGTATCGAAAGTTATTTCCCAGTTTTGATTATTTACTATAGATAAAAAATTACAAGTGTGTGACTACTAATATTTATACTAGGTAGTTTTAAAAAATCAACCCAGAGCAAAAAGTAGTTAAAATATTGCTGCTTTTGAACACTTTTAAGCAAAAGATGTATTTTGTCTGAGTATCTGTACACCACCTTTTGTATGGTGAGGCATGTATAAGTATGATTACTTCACACTGTGTTAACCAGAACTGGTCTTATATGTTATTTCATTCAAGAAGTAACTATTTGGTCACAATTTCAATGTTGTTTATAGCCCCTAAAACTTACAGAACTGCTGAAGAAGAAATCTCGAAAAGGGATTTTTTTTTCATGAAATGTTTTCAGATAAGTTAAAATTTGAAAATTAACTGAATTTACTGGTTGTACTAGACCTGTCCAGATAAACTGATAAGGTGAAGAATATTGTACAGTTTCTGAAAATAAATTGTTTAGATGACAGTTCAGTATTTAACGATCATGTCTTCTTTTTTGTTTCTTTACAGCAAGAGGACAGAAACAATGCTGGAGATAACTTGTAATGACCGTCTAGGAAAGAAAGTTAGAGTGAAGTGCAAGTATCCTTTCACCAAATGAATTCATTTGAACATAACTTGATGGATGGTTTGTTTTTTTTACATCCCTTGCAAGAATTTTTCACTCATATGAGTAGGGACCTACATAGTAACTGTTAGTATATATGTTACCGATATGAGGCATCACTAAATACTGGTGAAGGGCTTCAAATTTAAACCTATACTCAGCACTTAAGGCCATTAAGGGTTCTTTATTGTGTCAACACCTATCGTGACAAGGGACCTACTTTTTAAGGACATATCCAAAAGACCCGTGACTACACTCTAAAATGATGTTGATATTTTTAATATGGTCATTTATATTGGAACCTTTTCCTCATTTTAGGCTAATTGAGAGAACAATTTTATTTAAGAATATACTTTTGGTCATTAAGAAACTCTTACATTTCATCTTGTAACTGTATGGTGTGTAGTCTGAATAGATTTAATATCTGATAAAAATTCCTTTGAAAATTTTACCTGGTTTGTTTATTGATTGTTAAATCTGTTAATTGATCTAATTCTTTAAACTTGTTGAGGTTGTAAGTACTTCATTCATCATCGGAAACCCATGGCCAATCTCGCATACGCTTATTCAATAAGCATATGTGAGATTGACCATGGGTTTCCGACGATGGTTCTTCATTATGAAGTACTTGAAAGATGAATCACCTATTTTTGGTTTTTCTTTTTTCAGAGCATATATATATATATATATATATATATATATATATATATATATTTATAAATAACCTTAACCTTATTAGCATTGATGATACTATTGGTGATCTTAAAAAGCTGATTGCAGCACAAACAGGAACACGACCAGAAAAAATTGTTCTGAAGAAATGGTAAGTATTTACCAAGGACCTGTAAACTAATGGGATAGAAAACTCACACGAGACTCCTGATATCTGGCAAGTCGCTAGAGACGGGATGTCATGTGTCAGTTTTATTTAATACATGTATATATATCTCTCTAATATTATCAAATAATCAGAACAAAACCTTTATTTATCAATCAAAAAATCAGTCAAAATATTTCATTTGCACTGTTTATACTCCTTGTCTTAGTATAAATATATGTTGTATTTCAAAATTAATACAAGTCCCTGATAGTGTGTTTTTCCAAGATTTCTCTGAATTGTGATAGTTGTTTACATGAAAAAAGTTGACGATTACAAACAGTGATCAAGTTCAAAAATTTACAAACAATGCAAATCTGTGAAGGGGGAATAAAAAAGGGACCCCCGAAAATTCCAGAGCTGGGATCAGGTGCTTAGGAGGAGTAATAAGCATCCCCTGTTGACTGGTCACACCCAGTATGAGCCCTATGTATTGATTAGGTAGACGGAACATTCCATAGTCAAATTTAGTATAAAAACAAAGGCCTAACAATTGGTATGAAACACATCAGCCAAAATATGACCCAATGATAGGTTATATCATATATAGCATATCCTAAATTCTATGGTCATTATAATTATCTTGTTAACAAATATAACCTGACTTTAAACAAGGTTGTAACATCAACTTATCTGTCAGTAGCCTGCCTTGATTTAAAAATTGATCGTACTTGGAGCATGCTCTTGAGTATCAAACAAGTTGGGAGACATCAACATCATATGCAAGTGATAGCGAAATGTTATAACATTAATAAGGAAAAGCTGAAGTCATTTTGTTAGTATATTTAATTATTTTACAATGTTTGCTTTAAAATTTGTTAAAAGTTTATCCTCATAAACAATTAGAATGGATTGCATTTATCAAACCAAAATTTTTAGTAATAAACTTTGTAAGGTTGTATGTGACAGTTTAGGCAAATAAACATGGCACTGAAGGAGTTGCTTATCCAATTAGTTTATACATTCCAGATTTACATTTTTTTTATATTGTTTACCAATAAAGTAAAAATTGGCTTTTAGCTTACCTGAGCCAAAGGCCACAAAGCAACATTGCCAGGGTTCTCCACATCTGAAAATTTAACCATGGAGGAAGTTGCACAAAAGCAAAATGTGGTTGAAAGCCTGAATGCATGTTCATTCCAAGTTTCATTAATCAATAGTTGATGTTGACTGTTGTGCAACGTTTTATTTAAATCGGACCAAAACAATGAAGGAGTAGTATTTTGGAAAGAAAAAGTTTGCAGACACACAAACAGATGAACTAACACTTTTAATCTTTAAAAATCTTCTTCTCAAGAACAACTAAGGCATGATTAGTCATATTAATATGGAAGCATCTTCAAGTAGTGTAGATTCAAGTTTTTTTTTCAAATTATGACTCCTAGGGGTAATGTAGGGACACAGTAGGAGATGAAAGATTTATACTGGAATATATTGGGAAAAAAATCTGCTGATGAAAAACAGCAGGCCATAGTAACTCAGGTGAGCCTTGTGGCCCATGGGCCTCTGGTAATTTATCTTATGAAGTAAACTTAAAATCATTACAAGATTTGATATATGTAAGGAGTATAATCAATATGTTGTTTATTTTCAGGTACAATATTTATAAAGATCATGTGACCGTTGGTGATTGTATCCTTTTCATAAACGTAATATTATTTGGATCAGTGGTCATAGTTGTTTGGCCAGTAACCCAAAGGTCACTGGTTCAAGCCCAGCCATTTTCACATAGAGTGTGTGTTGTGTCCTTTAATAGACAATGCACTTTATATGCATTGTCTCAGTCCCAGCTACAATGGGGGACCGGCTTATGCTGGGGGTTAATCTGCGATGGACTGGGAACACACCCAGGGGGGAGTTGATGACTCTCAATGACTCTCACTCCCTTAGCACCACAGAAACCAGGTATAAGTACCAGCCTTGTAAGCCCTAGGGCTTGGACAAAGATTTAACTTTTTTAGGTCACCTGAGTCACTCAGGTGACCTATTGCTATCTCTTTTTGTCCGTCGTCATGCGTCATCCGTCGGTCGTAAACTTATGAACATTTTCAGCTTCTTCTCCTGAACCAGCAAACCAATTTCAACCAATTTTGGCATATAGCATCTATGGGTGAAGGGGAACAAAATTGTGAAATTCATGGCCCCTGTCCCCCTGGGGCCTGAGGGGTGGGGCCAAAACCATCAAAATTAATGCAATCTTTAAAAATCTTCTTCTTTACTCCTGGACATCAAGCAGTCAAACTGTTGGCATGATTGTAATAAGCATTGAGCCCTCTACCAAAATTGTGAAATTCATAGCCCCAGGGTCAGGGGTTCTGGTGCTAGGGCGGGGCTATATAGATCATATAGTGAAAGTGCATTATTTCTTTGAAAATCTTCTTCTCTACTCCTGGGTATTATTGAAACAAATTGAATACATAGTTATGATAAGCAAGAGTGACTCTTCCAAAATTGTGAAATTCATAGCCCCAGGGTCAGGGGTTCTGATGCTAGGGCGGGGCTATATAGATCACATAGTGAAAGTGTATTATTTCTTTGAAAATCTTCTTCTCTACTCCTGGGTATTATTTAAACAAATTAAATACATAGTTATGATAAGCAAGAGTGACTCTACCAAAATTGTGAAATTCATAGCCCCAGGGTCAGGGGTTCTGGTGTTAGGGAGGGGCTATATAGATCATATAGTGAAAGTGCATTATTTCTTTGAAAATCTTCTTTTCTACTACTGGGTATTATTTAAACAAATTAAATACATAATTATGATAAGAAAGAGTGACTCTACCAAAATTGTGAAATTCATGGCCCCAGGGTCAGGGGTTCTAGTGCTAGGGCGGGGCTATATAGATCATATAATGAAAGTGCATTATTTCTTTGAAAATCTTCTCTACTCCTGGGTAGTATTTAAACAAATTAAATACATAGCTATGATAAGCAAGGGTGACTCTACCGAAATTGTGAAATTCATAGCCCCAGGGTCAGGGGTTCTGGTGCTAGGGCGGGGCAATATAGATCATATAGTAAAAGTGCATTATTTCTTTGAAAATCTTCTTTTCTACTCCTGGGTATTATCAAACAAATTAAATACATAGTTATGATAAGAAAGAGTGACTCTACCAAAATTGTGAAATTC